CCCTTCTCCTGTCTCCCCCTGCTGTAGAGAGGACACAGAAGCTGGGACAGCGTGGGTGGAGATGACAGTTGGGAGACTTGGGGACAGTTCTGAGGGTGACCCTGCAAGAAAGCAAGGCAACAGCAAGCAGTCGTGGTTGGCGAGAGTGAGTCGGTGCGTGAACAGGTGGACCTGCCATCAGCGTGAAGCCAGTGAGGAAGGAGACCACGTCTGCCTCCGGGGTCTCCAGGACCCACCAGAGTGCCCAGAACACATGGCGTGTTCAGTGAGAATTGATTCAAACAGAAAACAAACGGGTAGATAAAACTGAAGGGCAGCAACATGCATCATGAAGGGCAGCAACGTGCATCACGAAAGGACTGGCTATCAGGGCCTGTCATGTTCAGCTGGCATGTCATGGGTCACATCCATCATTCCGAGGAGCTCCAGGGGCTGGGAGCATCTTTGGGTGTCTGGTCGACCTGCCCCCCAAGACCTTGTCAGGGGAGTTGCCATCTTAACCATTTATTTGTTTATTTTTTTTAAAAAAGCAATTTAAACGAAGATTCCTTGACTCTCCCTGATGAATTATTCTGTGACCTTCTGTGGAAAACTACTCTGGGGTCTAAAAAGCCATGTAATTAAGGCTGTTCTTCATAAAGCTTAGCCTAAATCCTCCCACTTTGGCAAGTGCACATAGTTTTGTTCTCCTGTCCCTGGGGAGACACAGGACAGTCGCTCACTGGTGGTCACCCACAGCCCTGAGCAGGGAGTGGGCCCCGTCTGTGGGCGGGAAAGCACAGCGGTGAGAACTCGGTTCACCCCGCCCGCTCCTCTGGGAGCGCCGTCCCCCCAGGACGGCTCCAGCCCGGCCCCAGCCCCGCAGGTTTCCCGGCTAATACTCCACTTGCTCTTCGTCTGTCACATTCCGGAGCTGTCTCCGCATTGACGATTTCCCAACGGACTTATTAAATAGCCCTTCAAAGCTGTTCATTTGTCACCATCGTGGTCGCGAGCCAACCAAAGAGAGACCCGTTCTCTTTGTCTCTGATCTTCCGAGTGTGCCGGCAGAGATTCCAGCCTTGAATTCCTAATGGTGTCTAATGCTGTGCAGTCTTGTTTGCAAAAATTTCCACAGCACTTGTTTCCAAAGGAAAATATTATTATGCAACAAATTCACACAAGTTCCCCAAGCTTGCACATTAACTTACTAATGCGCCCTGAAGTGAATGAGTTTTAACTCCGAGTGTGTGTCTTAAGAACAGAGACTGCAGTTGCCCTCAAAATTTGTGTGTTTTTATGAAATGTTTCTAACAGATGGACATATAAGGAAATAAATGGGTATTTCTAAACCGGACAATTTAGTTGTACTCTAGGTTAGCAGAGACAAAACCTCACATAAATGGACAAACATGGGGAGCAGGACTTCCAGAAAAGATCAAAGAAAGGAAACTGACTTAGAGGAGCTCTCGGCTTGGGCAGAGATCCACCCGATGAGGATATCCGGGTATCCACCGGGTAGGGGCGCAGTACAAAGAATGTGAAATAACATGTGCTTGGAAAGTGAATCTTTCTGTTTACGGGTCACTACCGTTTGGCGGGAAGGGCAGAGGAGGGACACCGTGTTAAACATTTTACATGTATTTTCTCACTTAATCCTATTTAATCTGGCCATATGCACTTTCTAGTTCATGTTCTGGGCTTCCAGCAAACATTCTGGAAACAATCTGGTCATCCGCCGTGAACAACCACAGCCATGACCAGTGCCACCACGAGCGGATTCCGGCGGATAAGGGACGTCCAGCCTTACGCTTCCCCCTCTCCTGCCACGCTGCACGGGGGAGATGATCTGAAGATCTGCGACGACCTACCCTACCTGGTGGAGACACCAACTGGAAACCACACAGGAGCACTGGAAGGAACGCCCTGGCCCCACTTGGGGTGCCCCGCACCGTCCTCCTGTGACCCGCGTCACTGCAGTCACTCAGCACGGGAGGTCTGGCGCCCAGGAAGCTCTCTGGGGAGCTCTGACTGCAGCTGTGTTCTCCGCTCCCCAGGGAGAATTGCTCACTTCAGTCTGACTCATTATAATTAGAGCAGGTTTACTTTAGGGACCAATGTTTACTTTTTAAAATAAAATGGCAGCGAGGGATTTGTTGCGGCGTGCCGTCACTTACCAGGCTAGCGTCTGCACGGCCCGCTCCCGGCTTGCGGGCTCCCTCTGCAGACAGAGCGGGCGGGGGGAGTGCCTGTGGTCAGACGGTGGTCCTGGGGCCAGGCTTCCCCGGTGAAGGACAACCAAGCGAGCACAGAATCCCCTGTAACAGGATCAGCAAACTACAGCCCACAGGCCAAGCCACTGGGGTTGGTAAATAAAGGGTACTGGAACACAGCCGTGCCCACCGTTTCTACATTGTCTTGAGTTGTGTTTGTGCTGCGGCAGCAAAGACGAGTAGCTGTGACAGAGACCACGTGGCCTGCAGAGCCCAAACTGTACCATCTGACCCCCACAGACCACGTCGGCCCTGCGCCACACACAGGGCACGCTCTCAGCAATGAGCTATACCACCTCTGTGTCCAGCACAAGGAGGCATAATAAAAATCCCAAAGTTCACGTAAGCTTAAAAACTCAAATATTCCACGGACATATTAGCACCTCTGGTACTAAGCCCAAGTATTAGCAACTGAAACTTAACTGAACATTCACTTCCCTGAAGCAGAAGGGAAGTTGAATTCCCCTCACCTCTAGCACTGTCCTAGAACACATACACAGATTCCGGCTGTTTCCTCCCATGCAATTAGTTCATGCTTAAGTGGTCTGGGACCTCAAGAATATATTAACTAATTGACTAATCTGTTTATGCATTCATTTCTTACCTCAACAAATATTTACCGAGCACCAGGCATTGTGCTAGCTGCTATAGAACACAGAGATGAAAGAGACTGACCGATTAGACGAAAAGGCCCCCTGAGCAAGGAGAGAGACCTGCCCCAGGCAGGGAGGAATCCTATGTGAGGGAGACCTGGAAGCCCCCGCAGCTGCCTAACAGAGCGTATGTGTCGGAGGGGACGTGTCAGGAAGCTTTCTCTGAGAAGCTGACACTTTGTTTTGTTGCTACCTCTTCTTTAAGAGACGAAACATGATAACTTCTATAATCACCTGTTCCTATCCCTGTCCCCAAGGGAGCATGACATGGGAGTAAAGTCAGTTGTCCAAGAGGAAGAGGACCATGCTAGACTTAATTCTAAAGTGTGCATGACCATGCCTGTGTGTGCAGGCACACACATACGCACTGCAAATTCTCCCTTTGCACTTGTGTGCCGCAAGCCTTCCCCGAAGGCAGGGCTGTGGGTGGTAGCTCTGCTACAGTGCCCGGCCTAGCTCCACAGGCAGACGGTGAGGCACAAATCTGCACGCTTAAGGATACCCACGGGATGACAGGGGAGGAGCCAGCAGGCATGGTAGAAAGAGACCTTCACATGGGGTCACATTATGATGTCCGTTTCCTGCTGACCACCAAACAGCCGGACAATGACCACTGAGTAAGGCTACACTGAGTGGCCCCATCCCCGTCCCCAGGTGGTGGGAGTGTGTCATGGGGCACTGGGCTACGGTCATCGGTGGGGGGCAGGGAGGGTGCCCTGTAGGTGTGCGGTGGTCAGTTTCATGGGAGGATTTTATGGATGTTGGAAACCTCTTCAATCGCAGACATTCTTGAACACTCAGGTCTTCTACAATCTCCTACTAAATTGCATATTTTTTCTCGTGTAAAAGTCATCTTTGAGGGAAGATGAATTTTATCTCTTCGCTGCGGTTGAGTTGATGGATTGGTGTCTCTCTGCCAAAGTCAGCTCCCAACTTCCTCACTTCCTCCTGTCACACTGGGATTTTGATTAGTTTCATGTGCTTTTCGAAATCTCTACAATCAGTCTGTAGCATTACAGACACTTTAGTATTAGCTAAAATAGTTTTGTGGCCTATATATTCCTGTTTTTTTTTTTTAAACCAATTTGAGGCAATGGAATTAATATGCAACCAAGAAAATATAATTGTGCCGAGGGCAGATACAAGACTATTTTCATCCATGTGACAGTAGACGGTCTATCCAATACAATCCTATCCCAGCTTTTAAACATGATCATTTTCATTGCCATTTTTGGAAAAGAAAGATTTAGGAGTGCAGGTTTAGGTAAGCAGCTTGAAGATGCAGAAGAAAACGGTGACCAGCACATGGCAGCCCCCTTCTCTGATCTTCAAGCCAGAGGACTTTCTGCGAGGGGCAACACGATCTTGTGAACAAAAGCTAAACAGGACTGATTAATATCACCAGGTTTTGGGCAAATGTGCTGCTAGAGCTGGGGCAAACCCCAGAGATCACGCTACCCAAATCCTTCCCTGGGAAGCTGGGGCTGCTGCAGCCACCGGGCAGCAGGGTGCAAGCTCCCGGCTTCAGAGCCCTGGTCCAGCACCGCTGTTCACAGCCTCTCCCGGCTCGGTCCCCGCCACTCACAGAAAGGACTCCGTGTGGCCAGCTGGAGTGAGAATCCATGACGACAACTGATTTGAAACCGAGAGGGCCGAGGCAGCCACAGCAAATGTTGCATGTGGAGGCGACCGGCCTGGCTCCGTGCTGGCCAGCAAACCGCAGGGAGTCTGAGCTCCGAGAGCAAGTCTCGGTGACTCCACGGTTCTGACACTCCCCATCTCCTTAGGGCACTGTCCATCTGAGTCTACATACAGCTATAAGTAGGTACCACCACGAGAATATCAGATACGGGGACCAAGGCACTTGCTGTTCCAATTTTATGATAATTTGCCGTCTAAAAAGAAATGGCCATTTTACATATTCACATACCCCAGTGTACTTATTCCAAATTTAACTCACACACACACACACACACACACACACACACACACACACACACACACACCACGCAGGCTGAGTACAGTGGAATACACTCAGCCTGAAGATACAAACGCCGTCAAAGTCAAAGCAAGGTCACGGGGCTTGACTGCTTACCAGCTGCTGGCCTTTGGGGCCCCACCCTGCATACTGGAGCTTTGCGTTGCTGACTTCTGGAGGGTCCAGACTTTGAGGATCCCTAAAAAAAGTGAACAAACAAACAAAAACAAGGCAAAATGTTAGGAACCAAAAATTCAGATTTAAGAATTTTATCCTCAACCTATAGCTTACTCCTTTCTCCTTCCAGGGCATCAATTTCAGGAGCTTGCCTCCTGTGATATTAAACAACATGTCTCATTCAGTCTGCATCAGATTCCTTTAGATGTGTATAATTTATTTATATGATGCTGAAATAGGTCCATCACTGCTTAACCCAAACGGTAAATATTCATCAAGAGAGAACATGCAGAGAGGTCTATAGATAAATTTTTAAAATACCAAGAATAGTCAAAATTAAAAATTAAAATGCATAGCCATGCAGTAATAAATCCAACAATTTATATCTCCATCTTTGGTTCTCCTAGAAGACAGTTTTTTCCTAAGCACAATGCCAGGCCATTATGACCTTCCAGAACCAGTGGCCTTGGGACAGATGAACCCTTTGGTTTGTGTTGATAAATCCAAGTGGAGAAAGAGAGAGAGAGCGAGAGAGCGAGCGAGAGAGAGAGCGAGAGAGAGAGAGCGAGAGAGAGAGAGAGAGAGAGAGGGAGGGAGGGAGACAGACAGAGGGAAAGAGAGGGAGAGAAAGTCAGAGAACAAGGGAAGGGGTAAATTGAAAGATTTCTTTCCTTTGAAACATCACTTATATTTTTCATCCTTAATGTATGGATAATACAAAATACCATAAAAACAAAACCTTGTCTAAGTACATAAAGGTCACAGTGCATAAAAGGGCATGGTGAGCAAGATGAAAACATGAGAAAACTAACACTTCTAAACATCTTAAATGTTTCAGTATGTTTTACAGCCACAGCCATCTCCGACACAGGAAAATATTGGTTTTCTTATTCTTTTGGACGGTGCCATTCCACACGAGGAATGGCACCTGTGTTCTGCTGGGGCAGGGCTTGAGTCGGGGGAAAATTCTAAAGTAATTACTGAACAATGCTACCAGGAAAAAAAACAGGGAACATGTTTAGAGTGAAAAGAGCTCAGGAGGGTGGCAGTCTACACTGTCCAGGGTAGATTTAGATGCAGTGCTTGGGCTTGGAGAAGCCCAGAGGCCTGGAGATGGAATGTCGTGATGTCAATTAAAGGAAGACAGAGATTATTTGGAATCACGAGGAAGGCAGCTGCCCAGGCACGCAGAAGATATAAGGGAATCTTAACATCGCAGGTTCCAGATGAATTTTTAATAAATTTTACCATTGGTTTTGAATGTTTCCAAGTATTTTCATAAACATGGGTGAATTTGCTTTGACCCTTGGGGCAGAGAAAGACTTAAAATCCAGAAGCCATAAAATATAAGGTGAATAAATTTGACTACACAGAAAACATAAAACTTTTGCCTGGCAAAAACATCATGAACAAAAGACAACTGACAAACTGGGAGAAAATATTCATAACATATGCCATGGATGAACTGATAGTATTCCTAACATATGAAGGACTCTAAAAACTTTGAGATTACAAAAGACCAGAAAAACAATAGAAACATGAGAAAAACATGTAAACAGACAATTCACAAGAAAGACATAAATAGGATCCCAAAACATATTTAAAAAGCACTCAAATGCACATGAAATTAGAGAAATAGAGATGGAAACTATACTGAGATGCCATTTCTCACCTATGAGACTGGCCGAAACAGAAAGAGAAGTACAACACGTGGTGCTGGTGAAGCTGTAGGGAAACAGGCGCTCTCGTATTTTGCTGGCGGGGATGCAGACTGGTATGATCATTTAAGGGGGAAATTTGGCAATATGTAATAAAATACATACTTAACTTTTAACCTAGCAACATCACTTCTAGGAAATCTGGAAGATTCTCCACCAACAACACAAAAATACCTTGTGCAAAAGCTTATATCCGTTGCAGCTTTATTTGTAATTATAAAATATTGGTAATAATATGTGGCTGAATAAACTATGGTTCATCCTTCTTCTTTAAGGTTGGATAGTATTAAGCAGAGAGCTAAAAGGTGGTTTCCTGAGGCTGGGGGTGGGAGGGATACAGTGATGCTGATCAAATGGTATGACGTTTCAGTTGGACAAGAGGAATAGGCTCTTCAGGACTACTTCAAAGTATGGTGACTATAGTTAATAATAATGTAATGTATATTTCAAAATTGCTAAGAGGATAGATTTTAAATGTTGCACCACAACTTAGTAAGGTAAGTATCTAAGGTAATGGACATGTTCATTAGCTTAATTTAATCATTTCATAATGTATACATACATTGAAATGTCACACTATATCCCATAAATATATATAATTATTGTATTTTAATTTTAACCTCCCCCCAAACTATGGTACCTCCATACAATGAAGTATGGCACAGGTGTACAAAAGAATGAAGATCTCCATAAACTGATACGGAGTGACTGCCATGAAGAAGTTACACAAAGCCCAAAAGAGTATGTATAGTGCTACCTATCATATAAGGAAGAGATATAAGAAAATATACATCTTTCAAGTCATTTGTGCAAAATGGAATACAGGAAGCAGAAAGCAGAAGCCAGATGGGGCTGGGTAGAAAAGGATGGAAAGAAGGAATGATCGGGAACAGGGTTGCTGGGATGATGAGGAAGAAGTGACGTTTCTCCGAGTATAATTTTTATACAATACCAAGCCTTAGGGCTTCACATACTTCCAACATAAAACAATAATTAAAAACAGCCAGGATGTTGAGGAACCCAAAGTGAAAGAGAAACACCAAGAAAAGAACAAAACTTTATCACAAACGAAATACAAAACCACTCTGAAGGGGGTGGGGAAGGAAATAACTGACCATCAGTAACTTGGGGAGTAATATTTTGACTGGATACTGTAAAGCTAAAAAGAACTATAAATAAATGCTGTAATTCAGGGAGTAACTGTGTTTCTCACAAGGGTTTGGAGGATCAATTCTGAAACTATATGTTTATTAGAATTGAACAAATATGCAAACATGTTAATATATGAGAGACAACGAGAGCCAGGTTTTTCGTTGCTGGAGAAGAAAGTTATAGGGAAAAGGGGAGAGCTAAAATAAACTGTGTGAAGTTGGATGGAACTCAGAGGCATCAGTATACACTCGTGGTGTTTAATACACATATAGGCATGTATATATTAATACATGTACTACATGTACATGCATTAACATATGTACATATGTACATATGTTAATGCATGTACATATTAATACATGTACATAGATCAGTCCACCGAGAGGGCCTGGAAACAGTGGACACCCAGTAGCAATGAGCACTGTCGGCGTCCAGATCTTGGTCTCTAAACACCATTGTTCGATACGAGGAAACAGGTCTCCTAGGAGAGGTGACTGTACGCAGGCTGGGGCAGGGAAGACACAAGATGAGCCTGGAACATCTTGTGGGGCCAAAAAGTAATGGAATACTAAAAAAAAAAAGATGGATGTTTTTTGAAAGAACATAGAACCTAACCTAAAGGAGTTCTTAATGACCAACACCAGAATAATTTTAACAACATAAAAATTAATGACAGTATTGGATTAACCCATCAAATAAAATAAATATCCATGAGCCTGCACTAATATAAATAATAATCAAATAAAGCAAATCAATTAAATAAACATTCCTTCTACATTATTACTACGAGGAACTTCACAATAGAATTCCAGTTAATAAATGCAGAAGGAAGGAAGAAAATAGGATTACCTTTAGGTAACACCACAGTAATAAATGTTGCAGACAAGATCCACTGGCAGATGATGAAATCAGAGAATGAAAGTTTGAAAAGAAACAGGATTTGTGCTGTCTCGAAACATCTTGCCTACGATCCTTAGCAACTACAAAGGGAATGATGGCAACTTCACAGCGGCAAAACCTGGCAGACAGCAAGTTAACGGGTGATCGAGGTCAACGTCACTGGAATGAGACCCATCAACAGCCCTTTTGAAATGATGCGCTGGGAAGGAAAAATCATCACTGATGTGGTGTTTTTAGCAAACATGCATAATCATGAGAAGACACTGGAAAAAAACCAAATTTAGGGACACCACACAAAAATAACTTCGAAAGTGTGAGGTCATGAAACACAAGTCAAGATTGAGGAAATCTACAGACTGGAGCGTGCTAAGGAGAAAGAATCCTACAAGTAACGTGCAGTCCTGGGACACAGAAGTGACACTGCAGAAAATCTGGTAGGATTCAAGTAAGGTCTGTAGATGAGTTAATATGGTGCCAATGTTCATTTCCTGTTCCTGATCATTATACTGAGGTTATAGAGTATGCTAACATTACGAGACACGGCGTGAGGAATATAAGTGATTTTTTTCACAACTTTTATTTAAGTTTAAAATTGTTAAAAATACAAAGTTAAAAAGAATTTTATAGCTTTATGCCTCATTGGTTATAAAAACCATCATAGACAGGAGTGAAAATTTAGATAATTTCCTTCCCAACATACAGTGATCTTGATTTTAGGAACTTTAAAAAATATTACTTCCGTATCTAGCACAGCACGGGCACTCAATACGTGCATCTGAATAAACACACAAAGGAGTAAAACGTGTACGGGCTGTGGAGGTGGCACTCAGCAAGGGTCCTCTTGCAAATTTAGAGAGAAACCTAACAAATTCACTGGGCCTAGGTTTATTCGGAACTTTCTGAGCACAGAAGACAGAACAGAAGATCAGAAAGAAGTCCTTAAACTCCATACCCTTAATACTGAAATTCGCTTTGTTAGATCGTGATTTCCAATAGGTGTCTAAGATATTCTAAAGCAGCGGGGGATTGGCCTCTCTTCGGTCTGACACATGCAAATTCCCGTGACCGCTAACTGGAAACGACCCGCGAGTGGATGACGCGCCCCACAAGCTGCATGAGCGCCAGGGCCAGGCCGCCATGGTGACAGACGGATTCCAATGCCACCACCTTTGCTCATCTGTGCGCAGCAGAGTTTCCTCTTCCCTAAAGCTGAAACACACCCCCAACGCAGCAGAGGGGTTTCCATGGTGTG